CCCCCCCCCCCCAGTTATTCCCCAGAGTGCCCAAAGAAGCCCCCACCCCTGCCATGATCTTCCATCCTCGCTCACTCTCAAGTGCTTTATCTGTCCACATCGTGAACATACAAGCAGGAGACCCCTTGGTTTCCCATCTCTTTGCCACATAAAATCAGTGTCTGCTCTCCTCTCCTCTTCTGTCTCAGAGGAAGAGATGGTTTTTCCAAATCCATCCACATCGACAAATTCACTTCATTTTTTGTGAACGTTTATTTTACTTTCAAGACACAGAATTACATAAAGAAATAAAAGCCCTCCACCCAACTGCCCAATACCCCCACACCCCACTGCCTCCCATCCCCTGACCCTAAGCCCACCCTCCTTAGGTGACACCTTGTTTGCTAAATATCTTTGTGGACCTTTTCCAATGCATATGCAAACATGAATCTTAACATAAGGCCAACAAATCTATAAATATATATAGCACACACACACTTATAGAACTTTTGAGGGTTTTGTTTTACAAAAAACAGAAGCGAACCTGTCATACGACTTATTTTCATTTAACAATGCAGTGGCCATGCCTCCAATATAGTATGCAGTATCCCTCATTCTTTCACATATTTCTTGCATTTTTAAGCTTTCTTCAGCTTTCCCCTTTCCCATGGCTCAAGTTTCTACTATATTCAAACGAACCCTCTCTCAACCTTGTGCTCCTCCATGCTCCTTCCTGTCACACCCAGCATCCTTCAGGAAGAGCCTCCCCTCACTAACTCCACTTCCTAGCTCTCCACTCATTCCCCAGTCCTCAGTTTGGCTTCTGCCCCTGCCACTGCCCTGGATCTGCTTGAAGATCCAAACTAGATTCCAGACCCAACAGACACTTTTCAGTTTCTGTCTTACAGGGCCCCTCAGCCTCCGTGGTCTTCTTCTCTTTTGATTCTTCCCCTGTTCTGACTGCTCCTAAGTACCTCACTTCATTGCCTCCATGGTTCTCAACCAGGGACAATTGCCCTCTAGTGGACATGTGGCAATATCTGAAGACCTTTTTGGTTGTCACAACTGGGGGGGGGGGTGAGTGCTACTGACATTTAGGGGGTAGTGGCTAGAGATTCTGCTAAACATCCTACAGTGTGCTGGACAGGCCCCTGCAATAAAGAATTATCCAACTCCAAATATCAAGAGTACTGACATTAGGAAAACCCTGTACTAGAGAGATTCAAACAAGCCCAATAACATTACTGAAGATGCAGGCAAGGCATGTGGCCCCCAATCCTGATGATGATTGTCCACACCCTCCCCAACAGCAGATAACCCAAAGTCACATCCAGCTGCTGCAGAGATGTCCCAGGGCCATGAAAGCTTCTCAGTCTCTAGGTCCACAGTTCCTGGGTCATGTCTAGGACTCCTCCAGTTGTGTCTGTCCAGTACAACTCCTCAAACCAGTTTCAGCATCTTCTTTGATGGTCTATTCACAACTGCTGTCCTGGTGCCAGTTTCTTACTTGGAAATAAGCTGGTTCCCCAGAACAGGAATCCACTCGAGTTAGCTCAAAGAAAAGTGGATCTGTGCAATGTGGATTTTCACGTAGCACAGTCACAGGTAGTGAAAAGTGGTTGGGTCGTTGCTATGCTCTCCACCTGTCTGGAGTCACAGGATCTACTAGCTCCGTGCCTATCTGCTCTCTGAACCTCACACTGGCATCCTCTAAAAGACACCTGCCTGTGTAAAGCACCTGGTTCTGCTTCCCCACCACCAGAGCCAGGCCTTAGCTGTGGCCTTGGCCTCTGTGGCTCTGACCCTGGCCCCAACTCCAAGTGAACTACTGCTTCATTGCCCAACACCACTGTGACTATGGAATCTTCCTTTCCATTCAGATTCTCTAACGTGAGAATCTGTTTAGCTCAGGATGGGTCAAATGTCCATTCCTTCTCCACTCATCTAAGGCCTAGATGGGGGGAGAGGGTGGGATGTTATATACACAACTGCCCAGGTCCACCAGACACTAAGGTGGGGGGAGGGAACACATACATACAAAACATAGATGCTGCAGTAGTTCTGGGGTATTGAGTGCTAATGCTCTGGAAATACAAAGGGGGTCATCAAAACACATCCCCCCCACCATCTACTCCCATCTCCCACCCCACCTCCCTGGCCCCAGCCTCCCACTCATCCCCTTCCTCCTGCTCCACCGAGTCCCCTCCCCACTCCCTCCCTCCCGCCCCCCTGAAAATTGATTTCCCATTGGGTTCTATTTCTCATTTCTGAATTCACTGAGGGTTTTGCAGCCAGATTCCCCTCCCACAATGGCAGCAAACTTCCCTCCGTGAAAAATTCACGGTACTGCACCAAGAGCAGTTCCATCCCCCGGGCCTGCGAAATACTTGTCTCCGCTGATAGGGTCGGGAGTGTCTCCAGTCCCTTTGGAGATCTCGAGGGTCTATTCCCTGAGCCCCCACATCAGACCACAGGGTAACATCAGAGGCCCCCCAGTAGCGAGGCATCTGAGGTGCAGCCGGTGCCACAGCTGCTGGTGGGGATGTGTCTGGGAAGGGGGAGAAAGGGCATTCATATGAGTATGTGAATGAGTCAGGGAGCTGGACAGGAAGGAACTCCTGCGAGGATGTGGATGGGAGGTTCAGGGTCTCAGAGAGATAAGTCATGGCTGTTTCCACTGACCTCAGATCTTCCCCCCCCTGCCCTCCAGAGGTGTAATTTTTCTGCTCCATGGCTCCCAAGAGCTGCAGGTCTCCACCCGGCTCCTGTGCAGCCTCCGTGGGGACAGCTTCCTCAGCATCCTGCTCCTTCTCTCCTCCTGCAGCGCCAGTGGCCGCTGCCGCCTCCTCTTCCTCCT